CTGGTGGGTACGCGGGGGGGGCTGCCCGCTGTGGGGTACGCAGGGGGGGCTGCCCGCTGGTGGGTACGCAGGGGGGGGCTGCCCCGCTGTGGGGTATGCGGGGGGGGTGGGGGCTGCCCGCTGGGGGTTATGCAGGAGGGGATGCCCCTGGGGGGGTCCATGCTGGGTTTCTCAAACCAGCCCCTGCAGGCGCTGCTGGGCCCTGCCCTCTGCTGGGGGCCGGGGGTTGCAGGGGAGGAGTGTGCAGTGCTCATGACCAGAGCTTGTTGGTCATGGGGCTGGGAAAAGGATGGGAATGTTTTAGAATCCTGTGTGTGGTTTGCTTATGACTATGTAAGCTTTTTATAAAATAAAGTCTTCCCTGGCATATTTGAGGTAAAAAGCGGTCCTTAAGAGTTTCTGTTATTAAGTTAATTACTTAACCGTCAAGCCCTGTGTGTGGGTCCAGCTTCATGGTCAGCACAGCAGGAGACTGAGCCGCTGAGGGCGTGGCCCGCGTGGCTCTCCCTCCCGCGGGGCCCTTGGGGAGCCTCTTCTCATCAGAGACTAGTAATGAATATAAAGCCATCACACAGTGCCCAGTTCATAACAATGGCTCAGTAGAAGTTAATGATCTTTTCCCCATGATTATAATACTCTTGTATTTTAAAGTTATTACCTTATTATTGTGTTATCATAGTATGTATTGTACTACTAAAACAAACAGCATTATAACAATAAATACATATCAGTGTCCTCCATGTAGTAAGTACAGAGATGGTTCCGGCCTTCTGGTCACCTTCCCGCCTGGCTCACGTAACCTGGATGCCAGGCCGTAGGGGCTAAGCTGCGCCGTCGCCCCCCACCCCCCCTGCTGCCTGTAACATTTGCCAAGGGAGGTTCTGGGGGAGGGGGAGGGGGCTCCTGGGGTCAGCAGGCCTGGAGCAATGCCAGGACTTCGCTGGTCAGGCAGGGCCTCCGAGGTCAAGGGACAAAGGTGGGAGGGCATGTCTTTGTGGGGAGACCACCTGCCTGGTGGCGTGGGCAGCGCTGGGGAGAGGGGAGGTTGGGTGTGCACCGACCAGGCAGGATGGGCGCCTTCCTTGGAGAGGAGCCCGCCTGGCCCCTCCCCCAGCAGCCCCACGTCTCCCCTCCCAGGTGCACTGCATCAGCACAGAGTTCACCCCGCGGAAGCACGGGGGCGAGAAGGGGGTGCCTTTCCGAGTACAGATCGACACGTTTAAGCAGAACGAGAATGGGGAGTACACCGAGCACTTGCACTCCGCCAGCTGCCAGATCAAGGTGTTCAAGGTAGGGACGGCCTCGCCGTGCCCGCCACGGTCCATGCCCCGGGCACGCCTGCTTCCTCCGACGCCGGACAGCGACGCCAGACATTCTCGCAGCGCCACGCGGAGGCCCAGCAAGGAGCCTGGATCGGGCTCCTGCCTGCGCCCCCGTGTCCTGGGACGGGCTCCTGCCTGGGCCCACCCCTCAGCTTCCAGCATCGCATGTGTCTGCACTCACCTCCACTTGATAAGAATGAGTGCTTTTGCACTTTTGAAAATTTGTGTTTTCCTTCCAAGGAAACACTTGGACTTTCCCTCAAGGAAAGACAGGGACTGTGCCCTCTATCTCTGTAGCCCCTGGCTCCCACTAGCTCCCCTTTCTGCACCTGAGGCAGAAACTTAGCAGTGAGGGCCCTCCTACCAGGCTCCTTGACCGCACACCAGGTGTTTGGGGAACTGGGCCAGTCTGAGTGACCCGAGAAAGGTTGGCACCTCCTGCCCCGAGGGGGCCCAGCGCCCACCCGCCCGCGCCAGTCACAGAGGTGGTTCAGACAGGTGTTTGCACGTGTCAGGCAGAGTCCAGCCGACCTGGCTGTCGCACTGGCTTCTGGAGGCCTGACCGGGGCTCTGTGTGGGTATCGGGGCCTTTGCAAGGGAAGACAGGGCCCCTCTGGTCAGCAGCGCCCTGTGGTGTCACCGGGCTGAGTGTGTCCCACACACAGGCACAGCCTTGCCCTGTGTCTTCTGGGGAACAGGGCCTGGGGGCGGAGCAGGTGATGGGGCTTGGCGGCCACATGCCTGCTCTCCCGCTGAACACTGGGCCTGTCCTTATGTTCCCGTATGACCCCCTGCAAGCCCGCCTCTGTGCAGCGTGGGCGTCACTCTGAGCACTGTTTCCTAAAATCCCCCGAGCTGGGAGCCAAAAGCTGTGCCTGAGGAAGGTGCCTGGAGGGTGGAAATCCTTGAAGACGCCATTGAACTGGAGAGTGGGTTTTGCTCACTGACTGCCCACTGTGTGTGGCCCGCTGTGTGCATAGTACCGCTCAGTCCTGGGGCTGCTGGGTGCCTTGATATCGGAACTCGCCAACCCCACTGTGAGCCCTGGACGCGAGAGCCCAGCGGTTCCGTCAGCAGCCTGCTAGGGCCGGCTAGCCGGCACATCCCTGCTCTCACATCTGAACTGTGACCTGGTCAGCACTTGGTTCCTCCCCTGTAAATGAGGGGAATGAGAGTACCTGTGAGGTCGGGGCACCGCAAGTCCCTCAAGCTCACAGGCACCCAGACAGGCTCTGTCAGAGCAGAGACCTCATGTGACGTGTGAGCCTCGAGTGGCAGGAATCCTGGTGTTGGGGAGCCTGGAGGCCTTCATGACGTGTCTGGGAGCTCATAGCCTGTAAGCGTGGGCCAAACCCCGACCGGCAACCCCCAGCTCTCTTCCCTCCCCGTCCATGGCTAAGCCAGGGAGTGCATTGGGATTGTCATGGCTCTTGGGGTTCCTTTCCCCGGCATTTCCCCCCGAGCAGCCTGCAGCCCCGTGGCAGGACCTGAGCAGGCTGAGTTCCCTGGGGCGGGGAAGGGCTCCAGGCAGGAGGACTTGTGCTCGATGTCTGGGAAGTGAGAGAGGCTGTCCGGCCGGCCCACAAGATCCTGCCTGGGCTCTTGCAGGCTTCGTGGCCACCGCCCAGCCCTGAGTCCTCCACCGATCGCCATCTCTGCCTGCTGTGGGCTAATCGGACCCCTGTGCTCTGCCTTTGTAGCCGAAGGGAGCAGACCGGAAACAAAAGACGGACCGGGAGAAGATGGAGAAGAGAACCGCCCAGGAGAAGGAGAAGTACCAGCCGTCCTATGAAACCACCATTCTCACGGAGGTGAGCGGCCTGGCGCTGCGGGCGAGTCTCGGGGGTTCCCAGCTCGGGGAGTGCTGTTTTGAGAGCCCCGGTGGTGGTGGTGTGCTCTCGGGTTTGGGGCTGTGTTCCTCTGACAGGGCCCCGAGGCCAGGAAGGCGCTTCAGAAATAACTTGTAGTTGGCCGCACTTTTCAAAATCAGGGCATTACTTTTCAAAAATAGGCAATAGGTCCCCAATTCAAAAGCTGCAAGAGAATATACATTAGGAAAGGTCCCTCCCGCCGCTGCTCAGCCTCGCAGCCCTCGCCCCAGGGCAGCCAGCAGCTCTGAATCTGGCCCGACTTGCTCTGCCAGGGACTCCAGTCCGTACACGGGTTTACGCCAGCAGTGCACACAGACATCCTGGTCTGCAGCTTGCCTTTTTTTTTTTTTTTAATCTAATAGTGTATCTTGGAGTCTGCTCCCTATCTGTTCATAGAGAGCTTTCTAGGTCTTTACCCCGCTTGTTGCCTTTGTCGTTGGTGGACATTGTTGTTTCCCGGCTCTTGCCTCTTCAGACGGGTGCCGTGAGCCGGTGCACGAGGCGTTCTCAGTGGGAGAATGTCTGCAGCTCCCGTTTTCGGAGCAGCATTGCTGGCCCAGAGGGTGTGAACCCTTGCTGTTTTGGGGTTTGGGTAGATATCAGAATGCATTTTCTCTTTTTAAAAAAATATACTTTTTATTGATTTCAGAGAGGAAGGGAGAGGGAGATACAGATAGAAGCATCAATGATGGCAGAGAATCGTTGATTGGCTGCTTCTGGCACACCCCACACTGGGGATCGAGCCCCCAACCCAGGCATGTGCCCTACCGGGAATCAAACCGTGACCTCCTGGTTCAACACTGAGCCACCACGGCCCCGCAGAATGCATTTTCTCTTAACCCTGATGCCAGTACCAGCCTGCTCCACCATCCTCTGTCCCGGGCACTTCTGAGATGCTCACGGTCACAGGCCTTTTTCTCTGGTCACAGGTCACTGCTGGTGTCACCTCTCTTAGTGCCAGGCTCCATGATTGTTTTTAAACACCTGGTCCCTGCTGTGTTCTGCAGTCTGGCCAGTTCCTAGGCGGTGTTTGTTCACTGAGTAACTTGACCTATTCAGAAGGCCCCACAGATGTGTAAGGCCCAGCCATGGCCGTGGCGGGGTTAAGGCTGTGTTAAGGGTGAGAGTGTCTCTGAGGACTGGCCTGGTCCTGACTGACGAGCTGCCTGTGGATGTGTGTGTGTGTGTGTGTGTGTGTGTGTATATATGCATGTGGGTATGCATGTGTGTGCGTGTAGTAAGCCACATGCAGAAGACTATCTGTAACAAGACAGCATGGGAGTTAATTTAATGGCAGAGACAGATGTGTGCTGGCGTTTATCTGAGGGTAACAGCGGCCAGAGAATCCTGCCTCCCCCCACCTTGCACCTCCTACCGGCACATGAAGCAGTGCTAGCCTGCACTGCGGGGCCAGCTCAGGCCCGGGTGGTCCCCAGGCCGAGTTCTGCCGGTGCTGCTGCTCTCCTCGGCCTCCGGGCTGAGCCTCATTCGGCCTCTGCACCCCGCGCTCCTGTGGCTTCCTCGTGTGGACAGGCCTGTGTTTCATGCATCTTTCCAAGCCCTGCACAGTGTGGCGTGGTCAGCAAAGCACCCACCTGGCCTGTGACCTTGTAAGGTGACGGCTCCTTTGTATCTCTCGTCAATGTGTTCCTCTGGGGTTTACACCAACAAACCCAGCCACACTGAGAGCAGAGGTGAATATTCACCAGCCCTTGCGGTGGTTACAGTGCGTCTTTAGGAACGCTTTAGACTGGCCTCTCCAAAGACGTGCCGTCATGGGGAAGGCAGGTGAGCCGTCGCTGGCTTCCCAGCAGGCCAGCCCCGTGCCTCTGCTTCCTCCGGGACCCTCCACGCACTCACCTTCGGCTTCTGCACAAGAAGTTCCTTGAGGTCGAGGGTGCATCTGGTGCTGCTGTCTCCCCGAGCTGGTGCAGGGTGCCTGCGTGCCCTACACCCACAGGACTGAGCTGACGAGGCTGCTCCTGGTGAACGCGGAGGCCCATCTGCAGGGGTTTTCAAACACCACAGGGTTTGATGCGGGGCTTCCCAGCGGTTTCTTGTTTGGGAGTTGTCTGGTCCGAGCTCCCTGCTTCCTGCCTTTGCACCCATCTGTCTGCCCCGGGACCTGCTGTGGGCAGTCGCCCGCTTTTGTTTTCCTCTCTCGTGGGCCCGGTAGTCATGTGGCCGATGGTGTGTCCCCGTTTGGTTTGATGACTAGGAAGCTCACAGAGACACGTGTCCACTTTGCTCCGGGATGACCTGCTGCGCATCTGGTCTCTGCTGCTGTCTTCGGTTCTTTGGGGTGGGAGTGAGCCTCCCGTCTGGGCTCACGGGGCCACAGGGTGAAGGCAGCCGGGTGTGGAAGGGTCCGTGGGTTTGTCCGTTGACTTCAGTGGATGCTGCTCGGTGCAGCCCAGGCGCCGGCAGGTCTGGCTCCTCCTGGAGCCCCGCGGCAGTCACCGCTGCCTGCGCTCTCTCCCCGCAGTGCTCCCCGTGGCCCGACGTGGCCTACCAGGTGAACAGCGCCCCGTCCCCCAGCTACAACGGCTCTCCAAACAGCTTCGGCCTTGGCGAAGGGTATGTGTGACCCCCCTCCCCCCCGCCCCTGGAGGGATGTCAGGCATGGTTCTTTCCCTGCCCTTCCTCTTCGCGTCTTCTCTCCTGTAGCCTGGCCTCGATGTGGGTGTCAGGGTGGCTGACGGGTGCTGCATTCACAACATGTTTAGCACTTGCCCAGCTTTTTGTGCTTGGACAGCTTCTCTGAATGTTGTCGGCAGCCCAGAGCCCACCCTGTCCCCTCCTCCAGTGCAGGAGGCAGCCGATCAATGTTTCTCTCTCATCATTGATGTTTCTCTCTCGCTCCCTCTCCTTAACCTCTCTCTCTCTCAAATCAATAAAACAAAAATATATTAAAAAATAAATAAAAACAGCCTCCGAGCTGAGGGGGGAGGAGCAACAGGCAGGTGAGGACCTGCACCAGCCCTGAGGCCTCGCACTCACCTCTGTCGCTTCCTTTGCAGCAGCACCTCACCGACCCACTCCCACCCGCTGGAGACCCTGCCCATGGGCAGCGATGTAAGTGTGCGGCCCTGCGTGTCTTGTCCCTGGGCCCTGCCCGTCCTGTCCCCGCGGCCTGTCCCTGGGCCCTGGGCCGCCATGTCAAGGCCGCCCCCTCTCCCGCAGCACCTGCTCCCGTCCGCCTCCATCCAGGACGCCCAGCAGTGGCTGCACCGCCACAGGTTCTCGCAGTTCTGCCGGCTCTTTGCCAGCTTCTCAGGTGAGCGGCTCTGGACACGCGGGACCTTGGAAATGGGGACCTTGGAACTGCGCAGCAAGGCCAGTTACCTCCCGGGACGCGCCCTCGGTGCCAGGGGCTGTGGCTTGTCCTGGGGACCCAGAGCGGTGTGGGCCACTCACTCACACTTGCTGACCTGGGCCCAGTGCTGAGCGCCGGGGTCCTGCCCGAGAAGCTCGCGGCTGAGTGCGGCTCTAAGGGAGGGTCACCTGGGCACCTTATCAGCATCCGCCACACCTGCCAGGCTCCTGTCTGCCTGGGTTGGCCCCTGAGCCACGCAGGCCAGTGCACATGCGACAGCCTCCCTGTAGCTCTCCCACCAAATGCTGCTCGTCACATGGGGTCCAGGGCCACTCCTGGACGGTGGGGGCGAAGCCCCAGGTGAGAAGGGAAAGCTGTTCTATCTCTTTAAAAGGTGTTTAAGCCTTACTGATGATTCGTCAGGCCGAACCCAGAGCTAGGAGCTATGGGTGCGAGGGTAAACTGAGCGTGAGCCGTCCACCAAGCAGAGTGAGTCCAGAGGAACAGGGACAGGAGCAGGTCAGTCCAGAGGGACAGGGACAGGAGCAGGTCAGTCCAGAGGGGACAGAAGCAGGTCAGTCCAGAGGGGACAGGAGCAGGTCAGTCCAGAGGAGGGGACAGGAGCAGGTCAGTCCAGAGGAGGGGACAGGGAGCAGGTCAGTCCAGAGGGGACAGGAGCAGGTCAGTCCAGAGGAGGGGACAGGAGCAGGTCAGTCCAGAGGAGGGGACAGGGAGCAGGTTCAGTCCAGAGGGGACAGGAGCAGGTCAGTCCAGAGGGACAGGGACCGAGGAGGAGAGTCGCTCTCTAGGACCGACCTCTGTGGCAGTGGGAAGAAAGCCCCCAGTTGTTTTCCAGCTCAGCCTTTGTCAGGATGGGGAGGGGGCGTGTGAGGAGGGCCTGACAGGGACCCTGTCCCCACGGAGTCAGTGCGGATACATAAACCAGGCGTTGCAGAGTGGTGTGACCCATCTGGGATGGGAAGGCTCAGAGGAGGGGCCTGGCCTGGCCTGGAGGGGGTGCAGGGAGGGCCGGCTGTGGTCTTGAGTTGGGTGGTCAGCCTAGGCCTTACTGAGAAGGGGTCTTGAGTAAAGGCTGAAATGAGGCAAGAGAGCGAGCCCCGTGGGTCGTGGAGCTTTCCAAGCAGAGGGAAATGCCAAGGCTGCAGGAGACACCTGCCTGGTGTGGCCATGAGGCAGGGGTCCGGCTGAGTGGGGCTGAGGGGATGGGGGAGGGGTGGGGGGTAGAGGTGCTGAGGGCCCTGTGGGACACTGGAAGGACTTTGGGTTTCTTTAAAAATAAATGTTTTTATTGATTTTAGAGAGAAGGGAGAGGGAGAGAGAGAAAAACATCAATTGGTTGCTTCCCGTATGCACCCCAACCAGGGATCGAACCCACAACCTGGGTATGTGCCCTGACTGGGAATCAAACCAGCGACCTTTTGGTGCATGGGATGACGCTCAACCAACTGAGCCCCACCAGCAGGGTGGCTTCCATCCCCAGTGGGAAGGGAGCTGTTGTGCCTACAGAATTGTATCCAAAACATCGTATAACTGTAAGAAGTCAGGACAGCGGTTCCCAGAGCCGGGGCAGTGCTGGCGTGAGGGCTGTGGGATGCTGGGCGCGCTCTGCCCCGTGTGTGTGCTGGCTGCACGGTGCCTGTGGAATGGCTGCAGCCATGAGCACGTATTCTGCCTGCAGACGAGTGTACACAGAGTCCATGCCCCGCCCCCTCAGAGGTACACGTGCATCATATGCCGAGAATACAGAGGCTGGGGCTGGGGGCGGGGGGCAGGCACAGCTTCTGTAAACGCCTGTCCTACTGCCCTTTGTGAGCATGTCGTGCAGCTTCTGACATCTTTGGGGCTGTGATCTGATGTTGTTTGGCTCTTTGCTGCTTCTCGCTCCATGGAGCGTCTGGTGCCCGTGAGGATGAGGCTGGCTCCCTGTCCCCTGCCCTCTGCCCTCTGCCCCGGTGCCGGGTCTGCGGGGTTTGGGGATAGAGCCTTTCTGTGTCCCACGTAACGGGCAGTCCCACATGCTGCCTAGGTGCTGACCTGCTGAAGATGTCTCGAGACGATCTGGTGCAGATCTGTGGCCCCGCAGATGGGATCCGGCTCTTCAACGCCATCAAAGGCAGGTGGGTGTCAGCGTCCAGCTGGAGGCAGGGCGGGCAGGAAGCCGACACGGCCTTGGGGCAAGTGTGGGAGGAGATGCGGTGGAGGGTGAGGGGCAGGGGCTGCGCACGCACAGGAATCCGGAGCAGCTGCTGCAGCACCCCCGGCCGCAAGGCCCCTCCTCCTGGTCTGCCGGGAGCCATGGCCTTTGGCCACAGGTCGTCAGATGCCTGCGTGGTGGGGTTCAGGCTGCCTCCTCCCGGAGGGACCGTGGGCTGGGCAGGCTGCTCAGCCTGTGAGTGGTTTCCGGGAGGACTGGAGCAGGGCTGGGTCCTGGGGCACTGCCTGCCGCCACGGCAGCGCTCTGGCTCACCGTTCAGGGCAGCAGCCTGGCCGTGCCGTGGAGCGGTTGGTCTGACAAACGGAGTTTTAAGCTTTAACTGATGAGTTTAAATACCAATATCTACACGTGGGTAGTAGAGTGAGAGCCTGGGTTTGAACCCAGATCTGCCCTCGGGAGCTTTGCAACTGGGTGAAGGCCCTGACCCCTGTGAGCCTGTTTCCTCATCAGTAGGATGGGGATGGCGGTCCCTGCTCCCTCGTCGGCGGTGTGAGGATGGAAGGCGTTATGCACGTAACGTTCTAGAATGTCCCGGTGCAGCCAGCCCGAGGAAGGGTTTGCTCTTGTGACCCTGCGAAATGCCTCGTTCTGGAGGTTTCTGTTCTGGGCAGAGCCCCTCAGCAGGTCAGCCTGGCTGGGATTCTGCCCCACCCCCACCACGAAAGGCATGCTACACCCCCACGGCCGCCTTCCTTTCTCCCCGAGTCCTTCCGGCTTCTGGGTCACCCTGTGTTCTGGAACAATCTGCAACAACAGAGTTTGGTCTCCTGCACCTGCTATTTATTTCCTTTCTTCCTGCCAGGAACGTGAGGCCGAAGATGACCATTTATGTCTGTCAGGAGGTGGAGCAGAGCCGGGCACCCCTGCAGCAGAAGCGGGACGGTGGTGGGGACAGCGGTCTATGTGGTGAGCTGTGAGGCGCCTCCCCCCTCCCCCCAGGCCGGTTCCAGGGGACGGTGGTGGGGAAGCAGTCTGTGTGGTGAGCTATCGGGCGCCTCCCCCCCAGGCCGGTTCCTGGGGACGGTGGTGGGGACAGCGGTCTGTGTGGTGAGCTATCAGGGCCCCCCCACCCCAGGCCGGTTCCAGGGGACGGTGGTGGGGACAGCGGTCTGTGTGGTGAGCTGTGAGGCCCCCCCACCCCAGGCCGG